CACTTAAGAAAAAAGCAAAGATAACTGATGGACGGTTATAAAATTGTGTAATTCTTGGTAATATATTCGGTATTTATTTATATGATCAAGTACTTTAAACAATTGATTGCTGCGTCCGACTTATAAAGTTTACAAACAAGATTTTAACAGAGGATGACAGTGAGCCTTTTTCGCAGTAACAATTCATGTAAATATTTATGTAATACAAAAATGAATGTTTTTATTTGTTATGCAAATTAATATTTGAGATTCTTCGATTTTTGTCCGTGGTCATATGCTATGCATTATTATTATATTTTTATTATCATCATTTTTTTCATTATGCACAAATTATTTCCATTTACATCTATCAATAAAGGCGAAGAACATTATTGAAGTTTCCCATCTTTACAACTATTTATTTCTCAAGTGGGACTAGGCCTTAATCTTTAATATTAAATTTATCAATACACTGTATATGCATTTTATTATTATTATTATTCATGTAACAACTAACAACTCTTTAATTAAAAATAAATAAAATTTTTGCTCAGCAAATAATAATAATAAATGTTGGTGGGAATATTTATTATTATTGCCGATTTTCAATGGTTACATCTGAAGTTCCATAGGTAAAGCTTTTAGGGGAAAAAATGTTACATGCTTAAAAGGTAAAGTTTACTAATAGCTAGAATGTTTCAATCATGATGATTCGGGTCCTCTTCGCCGCCATTAAAAATACATTTTTTAGTGTTAGCATATAATAACAAAAAACGATACTAATGCCAATTAGAAATCGTTGAAAATAATAATAAAACAATGCTTTTCTTAAAATGTAAAATAAACAAAAATTTTTATTATACACATGTTTATCACGTGGAAAAAAGAAATAATGTGGAAAAATAAAAAATTCCTCCAAAAAATTAGGTTTTGAAAAACGAGAGATTTTTCACTAGTTGCACATGTCTGCTACTCCTACGAGCTCTGGCAAAAAAAAGTAAATTATTCCTCTTCCCATTTTCTTTTCTTTCTAGGTTCTTCGTAACTTTGTGTTGATATTCTTTTAATGTTAATGGTTATAATTTTTCATTTTTCCTGGTAAATTTCATTTTCTCTTTCATTGGATAATTTTCAAGCATCCGAGTATCACTTAATTTGAAAATATAGGAATTAGATTTCTCGCCTTGTTCCTTTTTCAAAATGTCTCTAATAATACTATAACTATTTGGTTTCATAGTAGATCTGATGTAAATTAGTTTCATATTAATTGATTTTATAATACAAGAATAGCTCTATATACCACTTTAAAAAAAACAAAGATAACAAATGGGGCATTATAAAATTGTTAATAATGATGATGTTGAAATCCTTTGTAGTATAATGTTCACCATGTTTGGTTTTGTTGTCTTCAAGTATAAGATTAGTTTCACGTGATCCACTAAATGGACTTGTCATTTGGGCTTCTATTCGAGTAAATTTTTTATAACTAATACTAATACTAATACTAATAAATTTTTAATTCGAATTAAAGGTCGATCACTCGATAAGTCTGCCAAAATTTTCACCCCATTCATAACTAGGTCATATGAGCTCACCGGCTTATCGAGTTTACTTGTATTACGAATAGTCATTTGTGAGAATTTTCGAGAAAAAAAGTAGCGATTTATTTAATATTCTCTGACATCATTATTATATACTAAATATTTATATATAGAAAAACTTTCTCACCAAAAAAATAAATAATAACAAAAAAAGGATTTAATTTTTTCAAAAAAATGCCTTCAACTACTCAAGCTTGTCATGTTCTTGCTGATTTTAGCATTGTTCCTATGGGAACAGAAGTCAATACTACTAAGGTAAATATTTGTTAGTAATATGAAATAATATAATTATTATTATTTCGAATAATAACAACAATATTCGTTATCAAGTACATGG